AGCGGCTTATTCAATGATGGTGTATTGTCGCAGCCACTCGTTATTGGCCTGTTGTGTTTGTAGAAGATACTGCATTATTACCTTAATTACTCACGGGTATCTCTGCTCCTGCTTTAAACAGCAATTCCCTGCATCACGGGTCATGGCTTGTTGCTGGACTTGATGTTGGGCTGCATAGCTCTATTGCAGCTACTTCTGCACCTCATACTGATGAGTCTGTGTTTGCTGTAAAGCTTGCCAAACCTTTTGCTGTTGTTGGAGTTTACCAAAACGAGCTGTCTCAGCAACTCTTCCATTCTGGCCTTTACAAAACCTACTTACACAGATGCACACTGCCTCCACCATGTGTGAGGATTACCTCACCAGTGGTGAATTCACAATACTTCAAACAGGCACAGCAAACAATGGTTTCCTTTGAAATACACATGCTATTTATTTACAAAGACTATATACACTATGTACAGGAGCAAAAAAAATGAAAAACAAAAAGAGAACAAGAAAATTAAACCTCGCCACTCAGCGACTTACATGGGGTCCTGGCTAACAGACCTGGAGCAACCTACTGCTGCCCTAATGCCCAAGTTTCTGCATGTAGGCCGTCTCTCTCAAACTGGAGCTGTAGTTCACCACACAGGTAGTCCAATGACCCCCAGTCTGACATGCACAGAAACGGGTCGCAGTGTGGAGCAAAAATCCCTGAGCAGGCTGAGCGTTTTTAATAGAGCCCAAACAACCTCAGCTCCCAAGCTTAATCCAAATAAAAATAAATATTCAGCAAATGGTCAGAATCTGGGACATACATGCCTCCTTTTATGGATACAACACATACTGTATGAACGCAGATTATAGTAAGCACTCTCAGGTCTTCCAACGTAGAATAGAAGTAATAAAAAGGTTGTTTTATTTCACCAATATGTTGGCGAGTCTCCTTTGGAAGATCTGAGTGAGGATACTATATCCTGTTTTAAATTGATATATATCTTTATTAACATGTAGCGTTAGTTAAAAGGTCAGTTGGTAAAGGCTAAATGATAAAAAAAAAAAGGGAAAGAGACGAGAGTTTTCAGCAGCAGTTAAAAAAAAGACACACTATAGGTAAGATTTATAACCATCTGAACAAAGCTTTTGCTCTCGCTCTGTCTCTCGCATCTTTTTTTGTATTTAGATGCAATTGTGGTCATAAATTAGCAGATCCTTTGATAAGCAGTGAAACCAGTGCAAGCCTTCTCGTTCAGGCCAACACTCACCAGTCTCCAGCTTATTGTGTCATCTTCCAATTAATGGCCAACCAAACTGCATGAAAGAATGAGGCACGACTACAATGTTGCAGTACTCAAGAATGCGAGGTATAACACTTTACACAACAGTTAATTAAAACTCTCCTGTAAAGGTGCCATTTTGTTGAAGCTGATGTCCCTTATGTTACTCACAGAAAGAGGCAAAAACCTTTATGTCCTTCATCCTTGCTGAATCTCATAAGGTGGGCACGGACTACCCATTAGTCCAAACCGGATAACCAGTGTAGTCATTCACAGTGGGCCTTGAGACATTTGATTCACTCATTCCTCTACTGCAGCAGTCTCTTCATGCGTTAGATTATATAATTTACTGTCACCAACTGATCCAGCATCAAAATCTGTCTTTGTGTTGCCCCTAGGCAGGTTCCATTAATTCTTAAATCTATGTAATGTATGTTGTTCTAAACAGGCTATTATATGTGAACATCTACCATGCTCGTGCCCACACTACCTTCATTTTGATTGTTATAATATTTAGGTTAAACTTTAAAAAAAAAAAAATCTAATATGTATTTTTTTTTTAACTGAAGGATCAGGCTGAAAAATTACAGATTTTGACTAAACAAAGAACCATCAATGGTATCTAAAGCCATTTTTTAACTTGCTGGTGGTTGCTAATGCTAATGAAATGCGCAGTGATTAAATATGATACATTTTATCTAATGACAATCATAAATGTAAATTCATTGTGATTAAGATGAATACATCCGATTTACGATCAGATCACGTACTGCATGATGACCTTTAAAAACTGTCTGGATTATGGAGATTTGAATTTGATTAACGTTATACTGATACATTCAATGAAATGTCATTCCTGAGTTATTGTGATGATGGATTTATAATTTAACCCCTTCGTGACGGGAGACGTACACTGTACATCCAGCCACAAAGGGACCAAATGACTTGTCACGTACACTGTACGTGACGAGTTATTTGCTGCTTTAGAGGGCTGTTAATCGCTGAGAATCAGCTTTTAACATTCATTAATGGCTGCCCTTACTACAGAGGCATTCATTAATGAAAGGGTTAACCTTTTTCAGACACCCGATACCTTAATATCGGGTGTCTGAGAGTCAAAGCAAAGCGGACACAGATGCCGGCTTTTGCCGGCATTCTGACAGCTCGTATAGATCGAGAGATATCTCTCTCAAGCTATACTGGCTTTTTTTTTTTCTTTCATGAATAGATACAAAATGTGTCTATTCCTACAATGTATCTATTCCTGGAAGAAGAATGTTTGTTTGCTGATCGTTGTTGCAACAATCAGAAAACATTTAGTAACAGCTGAATCCTGAACTGCTGCAGGATCAGTGTCACTAACTTATTATCGGCTGTTCTGAAGTTTGAAGCAGCCTGATAATAACCAAAAATTTATTAATTTATCATGCAGTAACAGTGAGATTAATTCACAAAATCTGCTTGATATAATTAAATAAATAAAATAACATTTTTAAGTTAAAAAAAAAATTGAAAAGTGTAAAAAAAAAAAAAAATTGTGAAAAGTGTAAAAAAAATAAAAAAATGTGTAAAAAATAAAATAAAATAAGGGACAAATAAATGAATGTATTTATTGCATTTTTTTAGCTGTGCTGGTTTTGTAAAAAAAATACTACAAATCAAAACTGGGAAAAAAGTGTTTTTTTTAAACGGTTTTTTCCTCTTTTTTTATATTTTATTTGTCCTAAGTGAGGCGTTAGACGCACATATGTGATATAAATATGTAGCCCTATCTGTCCTCTAAAAAACAATATATAATATGTGTGGGTGCACTTTGTAAGAAAGTATATTACTGACGTGGAAGAATCACACAGCAAAAATGTCAAAAGTGTGTCAGTCATTTACGAACAGAAACTAAAAACAAGCTCAGTCATGAAGGGGTTAATATGTATATAGAGTTTTCCTTTCCCTATGTGTTATAGTCCTCTTTTTTCTATTAGAGATCTTCAAACTTGTTGTTCTCTTGTTTTTACAAGCATTCCAGAGGAACTGGAGATTAAGTGACTGCTTAGTGCGAGCAGATCTAAAATCCCTGATACCAGCAATAACGCTATTGCGTTGGAAACATTATGGTCCATATCCGTTTATGCTGCATCCAGTGTTCTTTAATGTTGAAAGGGAAGGAGTTTGTACATCCGGCCACAGGGATTGCCTATATGATTAGGAACCACTATACTTGTAAATATAGTTATCTGATTTACACAGTGATTTGCCCACATCAGAAGGTGTATGTGGGTGAAACTACCCAGAAGGTAAAGGACCAGTTACCACAACATACATACGATCTGAAAAGCCCACGAAGCATTGCCGGTACCAGATAATTTGGCTGAATGTGGGCATTCTGGTAGACTTACGTTTTGTAGCATTGGATGATGTCCTTCTCTATAGGATTTTGCAGGTGTGGTGGGTTAGCAAATTATTCACCCTACACCCACAGGGTTTAAATAGGGATCTTTATTGTAATATTGTTAGATCTTTATGTATTTGATGTTTATGTAAATGAGATTTATGAAGTTGTTTTTTCTCTACAGGATTTCAAGAATGACCAATGGAGTGATTGTTATTTTGAATATAGTCTCACAGGTGGTGGGAATTTCACAAGATACTTTGTAGCTGGCTGGGGTATGTCTAAGTAAGTGTTACTATTGTGGAATATTGTTCATTCAAATTTTGATGTGGCCAGGTCCTAATTGTTAACTGATATGTTGACGTGTTTCCAGCTGGTAAGATGACTCTGTAACCAGGGTTTTTACTATGAACATGAGGAAGGGCAGAACTACTGAAAGGGTCTTCAACTTAGTACAAACATATGTACCAGTAAAGGAATTTGATTGCATGTTTTTAAGCGTGGTACCATGTGTTACATTAGGACAGCCCAATAATTTGAATTGTTTTTTTAAAGCAGTACACCTCCACATATGGTAATAAGTAACCATACATTGTGGTGTGCTGCAAACAAACAAGTGTGGATGTCATTAAGAAACCACACATTTTCCTGTGCTGTGGGAATATGCACAATTTTGCAAGTTCACACAGCACACAGATGTAAATGGAGCGTTAGGGCCAGCTCTGAACTGCAGGCTGCTATTCTATTTAGCCCTCCATTCGCAACCTATCATATTTACCACATAAATCATATTGTAGCACTGATAGTTATATTGTCCCTGTGATGGAAAAAAAGCCATTGACAGTAAAAGTAGAGTGCACACAAAGCACCCGAGTATCTGCAGAAACCTCTATAACAGAAACACCAATAAAAACCTGACAAAGATAATAATTTTTCTGGCCTTCAGTCACTTAGATCGGAAATGGGGGGAAATTACTAATTGGGGACAGTGATAAAAAATGGACGCTCTCCCTTCTTTACTCTGTGCAAAACAAAACATTTGGAGTAACACCAATATTGTTCAGTCACCATAGGACATGGTGCCACCTTCCATCACCCATCCAAGTGCATGGGGGCAAAAATGTTTTTCGCCTTTAATTTGAACCTGGTCCGCCATGACAGGCCAAGGATTAAATTGGTATGATTCCATCCAAAATTGGTTGTATAACGTTTAGTAGAGATTAAAAAGGTGATTTCATGTTCATTAGAGGATTTGTGTCACACCACAGTACATACAGACAGTCATACTGAAAACAAGTGACGTTTACAAAATGTTTCACAAAAGGACATCACGGACACAACTGTGAAATGTTGAAGCTTTTACAAAATCAGTTGTATTTACGCTTTCGCCTTTGCCATAGCACCACTGCCAAGTCTATCAAATTAGTCCAAATCCATAAACTATACAGATACAAATGCAATTTCATTGGGTGCTGTGTCACACAAAATATTTACAAGACATCTTTGCAGTTTAAAAGCATGAAATGGACAGTAGGATTTGATTGTAGTGCTATTACCGGAAATCCATCCATCTGCCAAATATGTGTATAGAATGTTCTAGAATCCCCTGTATGGGATACAATGCTTGGTAGAATAATTATGCTGTATTTAATAACACATGCAATCCAATTTACAAAAGAAAAAGGAGAATGTTCATTTTCACATTAATGTCTCAGTGACTGAGTGATCTACAGTGGTTCCTGCATGGTAGAGGCCTGTGCTGCTTGCTTGTGCCATCAGTTAAGAGGAAAGCTGCCCAAGAATTCTTCTCTGCTGCTCAGAAGTGGGTTCTGGACATTCTTGGCGCTGGTCCACACGATCAAGCTTCCAAGCCAAGTATCTGCTTCCAGTGTGTACTACAGAGCTTGATCCCCAGAGGAACATCTCTACCAACTGGCCCGGACAGCTTCAATGTCACTCACCAGATTCTGAGCCAGACATATGCCAAATATCTGCAAGGAAAAGACAAATGCTTAAGCCAGTCTGCAGTGATCCGCAAAGAACCTAATTTATCTCTTTTTTTTTGACTACTTAATGGGAGGCATTTTGTAAAAAAAGCAAGGGAGCATCAACTGCATCCCTTTAGTCATAGATATTTTTTTTTTCATTATCTCAGGAAAAATAAAATGCCTATTGGGAGATACTCCTGATTTATTTGGTAGTAGAGGGTTGAACTGCAAAGGCGATTTGTAATAGCATCAGATGCAAGATGTAAGTGTGTCAATTATCACTATATCATTATTTAAGGGAAAGTGCTGTTTGTAGCTTAATTCTAAGTCTGAAATGGTCGAAGAAGCCAGTCTGCAAATTCTCAGCCAAACAGCGATTGCAGCCTCATCCATGCTAAACAGAATCGACTATTTTTTCTCATTCAAAGAATGGCCAGTTTTTGGCTAGCTTTACTTTCCAGTGCAGGACCCACTGAGGCAAAAAGAAAGTCTAGTTTGTTTGTTTTTTATAATCTTCCAGCTGGCCTTGCTTGGGAGGGTGAAAACGTTTACTCTAACTACAGGGTCAGCTTTTCTTGTCTTGCATTTTCTTCCTCCAATTCCAATTCTCCTTCTTTCCCAAATCACTTAAGCACTGGGTAAAATATACTTACTTTTCAGCTCCTGAACCACTAAAGAGGATGACAGAAGTGATGCAGATCAGGCAGACTGCTAATGGAGCAGGTTTAAAGTTTTCTCCTCTCTCGATGTGAGTGTCCTATCGAGGCCACTCACCTGTAGAAGAGCCACTCACCTGTAGAAGAGCCACTCACCTGTAGAAGAGCAATGCCAATAAATATCCCGGCCACAATGGTTAGGTTGTCTTGCAACCATTTCTCAAACTGAGGAACGCAGCCCTTGGTGTGAATGGTAGCTTGCTGGTCTAGTTCCTTGATAGAAAATAAAAAAATAAAAATCACAATAATTAATTTCATTACATACAAATAAATCCATATGTTCAACAATTTTAAATAATACACGTCAGCTGTTTAAAATATAAGCTCAAGAAAAAGATGAATTCTGTAGTGATTATTCTACATATGAAGACACTATAAATCTCTCAGGGTTAGTATTAACGATTAGGAAAGTGTTATAGAATAGTGGTATAATATTATAGAATAGTGGTATAATATTAAGTCATGTAAAACAAAGCTGGACAGCCCTCTTGTACTCACTGGCTTTTGCCGGACATCATAGCCACACTGAGTGTTAATGACATCTTCCTAAAAGTCACAAGAAGAAAAATGTGTTAATGTAAATATGAAAATTTTAAACATGCGCAGTATCTAACAGTTTTCTTTTTTTTTTCATATTAAATGTTTATTAAAGATTTTCAAAATATAACAAAAAACACACATACAATACATTAAGCATACATTAAGACAATCACATTACATATGATATCTAAGGTAAAAGGGGGGACAAGAGACGCAGTCCAGAATGCAAACGTAACGCAGAGTCATGAGAGATATGAGTCTCCTGCAAGAAGACCACGTCAGCCCGCATTCTGTGTAACTCAGCCAGTACTTGATGCCTTTTGGCGGGGGCATTAAGGCCCCTGACATTGTATGTCACCAAGCGTAGGGACGCCATCATGGACATGGAATAATATGCGATCGAGACATCAAGCGGCCCAGACCCAGGAAAAGAACCACAAGGGGAAAGGAAGGGAGACTTACAAGGGCGGACAAGGACATCGACAGGAGCACAGGGAAACACATATAAAACAGAGAACATCTAATAAAAACCACATCCATCCACACCACATACTTCCTAGCAAACCATACACACTTAACTCTCATACCTAATCTAAACATAAAATTGTCCGCTCTTGCTCGTTTTACTATGTTGAGTAATCTAACAGTTTTCTAAAGTACTGTGCATCATATTTGCCATGGCTTCATTTTATTTTTTAATACAGTTTTTCCCTTTTGCAAATGTCCAGTATTCTTTGTTGCCAGTTAGCACACTGTCTACACAAGTAGTGTATGGCAACCAAGAAAGTCTTCGAGACGAAAGAGAAAGCTGACATTTCTTTGTCTGCCTTACATGTTAACTACATACTACACAAAGAAACAGGTATGCTTTACAAGACGGACCATAAGCAGCCAGTACATACCTTCCTCATTCTCCCCCACTGCCCTACTCTACTTCCAGGCCAACCTAGAAATTGCTACTACTTTGCAGTATGGGGGAACACATGACTCTCTGCTTTCCCATACTGGAATGCTTGGGTGCCCAAGCAGCCAACCATTAACCACTTTGAGATTGTAGCATTTTTTAAATCTTTGCACACGTTATAATCTGAATTTTTTTAAAACCCCCAAACAATTATATTTATCTCAAAGCAGAGGTCCTGGACAGTAAAAAAAAAAAATGCTCATTGCAATTTTTATGTTGCACAAATGTTCACCAAATGGATGGTTTTAGGAAGATGGGGTTTCATGGGTAAAAAGATACCAAACATGTCAAGCCTTAAAATTGTAAACACCCGTTAAATGGCATAAAAACTACAGTACCCAAAATTGTCCATAGGGAACGTTTTAAAAACCTTTACCGCTAATCAGATTAGAGTTTAAAGTGAATGATGGCTTTAGGATTATTGCTTTCACTCCAATGTTCATGGTACAATTGTCTTTTTTGCACACATAGGTGTACCTGGTGTGTGTTTGCATTTGTACATGCGTGAATGTGGAGAGCTTTGCATTTATTAATTTTTTCCATTATATGTAATTTATATTTTTTTTACACTTAACTTCATTTATATCACATGATCCCTAATGTCACCAGATGTGTGCTGATCTCCCTCCAGTCAAGGCGCAGACAACTGCTGGCCACATGAGGGACAGCAGAGCACAGGATAAATGGCTGTGAAATTTAAATACCGGGGTGCTCATCCACAAAGAAATATTTATCAAACGGAAAAGACACAGCGCTCTCTTGGGAGTGTGGGGTGTGTGTGACAACGGCCGATGGGGATTGCTGCTCTAAAAACAGGGGGAGAAACCTGTGAACAAAAACGAGGCAAATGAGAGTGCAAATCCTGAGAGTGTAAAGGTGTAGGCACAACCAGTGTCTGTGTGTTACGGGTGAAAAAGGACAAAAAATTATCAAAAAACAAAATGTTGAGACAAAGAATTAGAAACTTACTTGAGGAGCCGAAAGTCCTGGTAAGGGGGGCCCCTGAGGGGTTCTGGCAATGCGAGATATATACGGTGTGTCCCGGGGGTGAAAGGATGAATGAAGGAAAGACCAATTTAAACTAAGTGCTGTGTGTGCCGAGGGACTAGTGAGAGGCTGCCTCTAGTCTTGCTTGCGGTGTTTTTTATGAGATGTGATGCAATAAAGTGACAGAAAACTGGGAAAGAACATGCACGGGGCGGTGGTGGAGGAGCGACGCGTTTCGAGGTGATCCTCTTTATCAAGCTCAAAGGGAAAAGGTAAGTAACATTGGCGGGAGATTCGCTGGGTTTAAAAAGACGCCGGTGGGCGGGGTGACACAGGAGAAATCTGCTGCGCTTAGCAGCTGTGCCGCTGTCATCTGATAGCTCGGGCAGGAATTTTTTATATGTGTATATGTAGCTGTATTTTCTGAGTGTGTGAACAGTGGAGGGGATGTAAAGGAAAGGTGGGGGTGTTAATCGTATGAATATGGAACATGATGTGCGAGGGGTGGTAGGCAATCTTTCGGCGGGGATCCGCCGGATTTAGAAAAAATTTCAGGTGGGCGGAGCCACGTAGACGAAATCTCCTGTAATCATCAAACAATGTGTCGGTGTGTACTGATTGCTCAGGCGGGGATAGTGGAAGTGTGGACAGTAAGGGGCTGTTGATAAGTGATGGGGGTGTGTTTGTATGTGGCCATAGACAATAATGTATGTGGAATGGCCAGAATACTTTCGGCGGAGATCCGCCGGGTTTTAAGGAAATGACAGGTGGGCGGGGCTACCAGGACGAACTGTGTATGGGGTAGGATGCCGCACTACGGTATTTATGTTGCGTTATATGACTACCACCTTATAGCCTTACGGGAGAAGAGGAGCTGCATATGTTTATTTCATGGGAAGCTTTGTTGGTTGGTTCATCAATACAAACTGGATGGGTACTTGGAACATGAAATGGTTGAAACACCAAGGAAATTTGGTGTGAGTGTATTGTATTATATAGTTATATTGTGTTTTTATTAAAATGATTAAAAGAATTAAAAAATTAATTAAAAAAAGTTTTATTAAATGAATTGAATGTAAAAAATAGATTAAACTGGTTATACCAATTAAATGAATTTTGGTCAAATAAGAGAATCAATTGAATCAATTAATAAAGAAATATTTATACCAATTCAAAGTAGTTATAGAGGCAATCACAGCTGGCAGCGGAGATCAATCAAAGCATCTGCATTTTATGTAAATGTTCTGACTGAGCTCAGTCCGTCATTATCTTGCTTTGGCTCAACTTCGCTGCTGCCTCTATTCCTACTTTGGATATACACCGATCAGCCATAACATTATGACCACCGAGAGGTGAAGTGAATAACACTGATTATCTTGTTACAATGGCATACAAAGGATTTGAGCGACATTGACAAGGGCCAATTTGTGATAGTTAGACAACTCGACTGGGTAAGCGCAACTCCAAAACTACAGCTCTTGTGGGATGTTCCTGGACTGCAGTGGTCAGAAAATACCAAAAGTGGTCCAAGGAAAGAAAACCGTTGAACTGTGACAGGGTCATGGGTGGTCAAGGTTCAACAAAACGCAACTACAATGGGCATGTGAGCGTCAGAACTGGACCACAGAGCAATGGAAGAAGGTGTCCTGGTCTGATAAATCATGTTTTATTTTACATCATGTGGATGGCTGGGTAAGTGGGTGTCCCTTACCTGGGGAAGAGATCACACCAGCATGCACTATGGAAAGAAGGCAAGCTGGTTGAGACAGTGTGATGGTTTGGGCAATGTTTTGCTGGTAAACCTTGGGTCCTGCCATTCATGTGACTGTTACTTTGACACATACCACTTACCTAAACATTGTTGCTGACCAAGTATGCCCCATCATGGAAATGGTATTCCCTAATGGCAGTGGCCTCTTTCAGCAGAATAATGTGCTGAAATGCCTTGGGGAACAAAACAATGAGTTTGATTAAGGTTCTAAATCCATTCAAGCATCTGTGGGATGTGATGTAAAAACAGATCTGTTCTATGGAGGCCCCACCTTCTTACTTACAAGACTTAAATGATCTGTTACTGATGGCTTGATGTCAGATACCACAGTATACTTTCAGAGATCTAGCGGAGTCCGTGCCTTGATGTGTCAGGGCTGTTTTGGTGGCAAAAGGGGGACCTACTCAATAATAGGCGGGTGGTCATAAATGTATGCGTGTATATATTTATTATGGAGAAATTGTATGTTTCCCAAGCATGTGGATATCAGCATGGCAAAACAGAAACAGTAATGCTCCAAGGATTACTCTGTGCTTTACACAGGGTCAGTGCTGTGGATGTTGGATGGCAATTTGTAACACTACAAAGGCACTATGAAGCCACACATTTTTTTAGCAAACTTTTTCAGTTATGCTCTGTCAAAATTACTCGTTTGATTGTACAAAGCTGTGTGAAATGTATTTTTCAATGAATGTGCAAGTGAAAAACATCTGGACTCGAAAGTGAAAAACAACCATGGTCATCAGCATGAGCAGTTACAAATACTTTTTTACATCATGTAATTCCATCTAAATTGTAATTCCATCCTCCTCCTGAGCAAACTACACTATGCCAGAAAAAGAGTGTAGCTTCAATACTGCCAGGAAATCAGCCTCTGCAAGAAAATGTTACCCGCCAAATTTCCAAGCTGCGATATTACATGACTTAAGGACTCTAGGAGGAGAAACAGATCAGATTTTGTGCGCTATAAACAAGTGACATCACTTTGCATTATCCAGCACCAACATAAGTGAAGTGTCATGCAGGATTCATCTAACATATGTTCTCTGCCACATAACTTCTAGGTGATGAGACAGGAGGGCCATGAATGAACTGCGGAGTGACATGATCCTATGACTTAAAAGGAGAACTATGGGGTTAGGGCTTTTCCCCATAGTTCTCCTTAGGGTAACGGGAGGACACAAACTAGCGTCCTCCCGTCACCCAAAGCTCAGTATACCGCGAGCTATAGCTCGCGGTATACTGGGACGCCGCAGCTGAAGCGGATAACAACAATTATGTCTG